AGAACCAAGGAGTATATTGGGGGGATCTTTGTCTTTGTGTATACGCTTACTTACTGAGGAGCTCAAGCGGTAGTGCCTTGGTGGGCACATTGTGCCGTGCATCTGCCAACCTCAGTTGGATTCCTAGGTCCACGGCTCGCATCAGTGGCAAGTGACATCTGAAGTTATCTTGGGCACCCATTCCCTTCACCAATCTGCACTGACCAAAGGGCTGTACATTGCCATTGAATTGCTATTTTCCGCTATTAATATGGCAACCGACCCCAAATTAATAATTAATTTTGCCAGCCAGATAATCTAATCTCTTTCACACATTGTTTTTGAGATATAAGATGCTTAAACTAATACATATGTGCTTCAGAAAAAAACACAAAAAGCAGAGGAGATAGTAAAGAATGTGTGGTCTCTTGTGCTGTGGTGTTCACCATTGAAGAGCAATGTGCTGTGCATGGGAAATAAACGTTATCGTTTAAAAAAAAATCTCACAACAAATATAATGAATACCTTCAGCTGTGGGTCACCTTGAACCCAACTTTTATGATTTGTTATAATTCGGTGGCAACTTCCATAACTCAAAGAGCCCATAATGTAAGGCAAACTAAGAAAGAGTCCTCGGTGGTTTAGGAGAAAGCTCCCAAGCGGCCTGTCTAGCTGCCTCGATGTTTTTGTCATTTTATTTTTAAGCGCAAATATGTACCCGGCTAAAGTTCAGTCATACTGGAGGGAAGGAAAAAAAGGCACAATGTCTCTGGCCGTGAGATATAAGCATCATAGGAAATTGCCCGCTATTTTTTGACCACCTGGGAAGGCGACATGAATGGCAAACAGGCTGGCAAGCAGAGAGAATTGACGTTTTATCAAGAACTGTGTGTTTTTTATGTGGTGTTGCCTTGGTGTGCTAACCACACACATATACTGTATAGCCCTTGTTTGATATGTGCACTGTAAGGTAAAGTTTTGCACGAGTATCTATTGTCTGTCGGTTCCCATTAAATGCCTACCACTTGGTGGCGAGTAAACGGTGGCCATCCTATGGAATAAATTGCCCCACGCCGTCATGGGAACGTGGAATTCCCATCACTGGCTGACAACTGTGTACAGCGCCTGAGTGCTGCCTCGATTTTTATTTTGAGCAGTCAGATATTTGGCTTGACACCGAGCCGAGAGGTAAATGTCAGGATGCCCTAAATGTCCTATATTGGTAATCATTTGAGTAATTTTTTAAATAATTTAATTATCCTGGTTTAAAGGCTGCCACATTGTAATATTAAATATACAAAATCCAACAATGGCTCGTTAATGGTGACATTTTCAATTAGCACATTCCATAAATACGGCACCATTTAATTTCGTAAACAAAAGGGGTTTTAAAGCTAATATGCATTTAAAATGATCTTTATATTTTATGATTAATGGTCCTTCTGTAAAACAATTGAGAAAAAATACGTCCGTTAATTATCTAGAGACGTTTCTCGCACACGCAGCCACAGTGCCCAAGTTATGCAAAATGAAACCATTCCTTCCTCTTTGTTCTAATTGGCCTGCAGACGTTGCCTCTGTTGTTATCAAACCTTTGTCATTTGTAAGTCTGTGTTTAATGAAGGTAGCATTAGCATATGTGCCAGACCAGATATTTCACTTGTTGGTACAAGGGGAGGTATCAAAGCTTATTTATTCGGATTTTTTCGTACATTAAAAAATATATACATTTCAGAAGTTGCTTATTTAAAGTTATTATCACTAACCTTTGCCTATGACTACATCACCCAGAATGTGGACACACTCAATTCTCAGAAGCCAAGCAGAGATGAGACTGGATAATGCTTCGATGCGTGACCACCATGCACAACAGGTTGTTACAGGTTGCTGGGCTACGTAATAGACAGCAGAGGGCAGTGCAGCAAATTGTTCTGTTCAGTAGTTCCATATGGAGGCTGGGGTTGGGTGATGGTGGTTGAGATGGATTATGGAATAAGCTGCGGTGGTTAAAGGAATAAGCTTGGATGGGTGACAGTGGCTGGGGTAGGTGACACGGTGACTAGGGTGGGTGATGGTGGTTGACAGTGGCTGGGGTGGGAGACACGGTGGCTGGGGTGGGTGATGGTGGTTGACGGTGGCTGGGGTGGGTGACACGGTGGCTAGGGTGGGTGACGGTGGTTGATGGTGGCTGGGGTGGGTGACACGGTGGCTAGGGTGGGTGATGGTGGGTGACAGTGGCTGGGGTAGGTGACACGGTGGCTAGGGTGGGTGATGGTGGTTGACAGTGGCTGGGGTAGGTGACACGGTGGCTAGGGTGGGTGATGGTGGTTGACAGTGGCTGGGGTGGGAGACACGGTGGCTAGGGTGGGTGATGGTGGTTGACAGTGGCTGGGGTAGGTGACACGGTGGCTAGGGTGGGTGATGGTGGTTGACAGTGGCTGGGGTGGGAGACACGGTGGCTGGGGTGGGTGACGGTGGGTGACAGTGGCTGGGGTGGGTGACACGGTGGCTAGGGTGGGTGACGGTGGTTGATGGTGGCTGGGGTGGGTGACACGGTGGCTAGGGTGGGTGATGGTGGTTGACAGTGGCTGGGGTAGGTGACACGGTGACTAGGGTGGGTGATGGTGGTTGACAGTGGCTGGGGTGGGAGACACGGTGGCTGGGGTGGGTGACGGTGGGTGACAGTGGCTGGGGTGGGTGACACGGTGGCTAGGGTGGGTGACGGTGGTTGATGGTGGCTGGGGTGGGTGACACGGTGGCTAGGGTGGGTGATGGTGGGTGACAGTGGCTGGGGTAGGTGACACGGTGGCTAGGGTGGGTGATGGTGGTTGACAGTGGCTGGGGTAGGTGACACGGTGGCTAGGGTGGGTGATGGTGGTTGACAGTGGCTGGGGTGGGAGACACGGTGGCTAGGGTGGGTGATGGTGGGTGACAGTGGCTGGGGTGGGTGACACGGTGGCTAGGGTGGGTGATGGTGGGTGACAGTGGCTGGGGTGGGTGACGGTGGTTGACGGTGGCTGGGGTGGGTGACATGGTGGCTAGGGTGGGTGATGGTGGGTGACAGTGGCTGGGGTGGGTGACACGGTGGGTGATGGTGGGGGACAGTGGCTGGGGTGGGTGACACGGTGGATGATGGTGGGTGACAGTGGCTGGGGTGGGTGACACGGTGGCTAGGGTGGGTGATGGTGGGTGACAGTGGCTGGGGTGGGTGATACGGTGGCTAGGGTGGGTGATGGTGGTTGACGGTGGCTGGGGTGGGTGACACGGTGGCTAGGGTGGGTGATGGTGGGTGACAGTGGCTGGGGTGGGTGACACGGTGGCTAGGGTGGGTGATGGTGGGTGACAGTGGCTGGGGTGGGTGACGGTGGTTGACGGTGGCTGGGGTGGGTGACATGGTGGCTAGGGTGGGTGATGGTGGGTGACAGTGGCTGGGGTGGGTGACACGGTGGGTGATGGTGGGTGACAGTGGCTGGGGTGGGTGACACGGTGGATGATGGTGGGTGACAGTGGCTGGGGTGGGTGACACGGTGGCTAGGGTGGGTGATGGTGGGTGACAGTGGCTGGGGTGGGTGACACGGTGGCTAGGGTGGGTGATGGTGGGTGACAGTGGCTGGGGTAGGTGACACGGTGGCTAGGGTGGGTGATGGTAGTTGACGGTAGCTGGGGTGGGTGACACGGTGGCTAGGGTGGGTGATGGTGGTTGACGGTAGCTGGGGTGGGTGACACGGTGGCTAGGGTGGGTGATGGTGGGTGACAGTGGCTGGGGTGGGTGACACGGTGGCTAGGGTGGGTGATGGTGGGTGACAGTGGCTGGGGTGGGTGACACGGTGGCTAGGGTGGGTGACAGTGGTTGATGGTGGCTGGGGTGGGTGACACGGTGGCTGGGGTGGGTGATGGTGGGTGACAGTGGCTGGGGTGGGTGACACGGTGGCTAGGGTGGGTGATGGTGGGTGACAGTGGCTGGGGTGGGTGACACGGTGGCTGGGGTGGGTGATGGTGGGTGACAGTGGCTGGGGTGGGTGACACGGTGGCTAGGGTGGGTGATGGTGGGTGACAGTGGCTGGGGTGGGTGACACGGTGGCTAGGGTGGGTGACAGTGGTTGATGGTGGCTGGGGTGGGTGACACGGTGGCTGGGGTGGGTGATGGTGGGTGACAGTGGCTGGGGTGGGTGACACGGTGGCTAGGGTGGGTGATGGTGGGTGACAGTGGCTGGGGTGGGTGACACGGTGGCTGGGGTGGGTGATGGTGGGTGACAGTGGCTGGGGTGGGTGACACGGTGGCTAGGGTGGGTGATGGTGGGTGACAGTGGCTGGGGTGGGTGACACGGTGGCTAGGGTGGGTGATGGTGGTTGACGGTGGCTGGGGTGGGTGACACGGTGGCTAGGGTGGGTGATGGTGGGTGACAGTGGCTGGGGTGGGCGATGGAGGCTGTGTACGTGGATGGCTGCCGTGGCTGCACACATTAATGATGCATAATTGAGGGTCCGGTTGCGTCCGTGCTGTCTCCAGCCCTCGCGAGCCGCTCGCCCTCCCAGTGAGAAAGCGGGGCCGTGCGGCAACACCAGCGCCGAGCTACAACACCTATGCAGATATGCATGTGTATTTGCTCATATACTAATATAGTACATACGTAGAAATATATATACGTAGAGACACACACACACACACAAGCATACACTGCACAAGTATAGACACAACCCTCGCGCACATAGCACATTTTACATGCTATACTCGGCAGTAGCAGACACAAACAGTTACGCACTCATTTACAGACATACTCGCAGATAGGCACACATACATAAGCCTACACCCGCACATATTCAAACTCGCACTCTCAAACACACACCCACACGTACACACTCGCACACTCTGACATACACACAAACACGCACGTAGCCCCGTTGGATTGCGCTCCTGTAAATGGTTCGCGCCATGCACAGGACGCTGAACGTACTCGGGCGCAGGTGAGTGCGGGGCGCAGGTGAGCGCGAGCCCCCCAGGTGAGCGCGAGCCCCCCAGGTGAGGCTGCTCGTCGTCATGGCGATGGAACGCCTGCGGCGCGTTCCGCGGAGGAGCAACTCGCAGCTGCCCCACGTGTCTCCCAGTGAGTTGACCCCCCCCGACCCCGAAGCCTCAGGCCGAACGCGAAAGCTAGTCTTGTGCCAACCCTGACTTGCATTCGTGCCCGTTCTAAATTCGTTACAGCCCAGCTCTAATCTCATACTGGCATCCAATTCTGACTTCAGCTCAGCCAAAGACCAGACCTGATTTATAATCATGTGCCAGCTTCGAGCTCTAACCCTATATCAGCTGAGCCCTAATCCAGACTGCCAGTCCAGCCCTAACCCTAGCCAGATCTATAACCCGAGTCTATCCATAAGCATAACTATCAATCCAACCTCTGGGTTCAGGACCTTTGGATATGGACCCGTGCCTTGCTCCATCACTCCGCTCTCTTCGCCTCTCATCTTCCCCTCCCCTCTGTCGCCTCCACACTGGTTGTGAACCGCGGGGAACCTTGGTGCCAATTTAGAAGAGCCGTGTGCCGTCTGATGTATTTGCACAAGGGTTGGGGATCCCGTGGCATTAGATTATTTTTTATTCAAAAGAATAGCCCCCCTCGCCTGTTGCACGTCAATGTCACGGCCAGATTTACATAATCGCACGCAATCCCTTTTGAGACGTCAAATAGTCCCTGATTGAATTCTAACGTGGCCTGGACGTTCTGTGCCAGGCTCTTTGTCGATGCCTCGCAGGACCAAACTGCCGCAAAAGCAATGATCGCGTAGACTCTCACGTGCGCAGAAAAGAGCAAATATCCCCCACTTAATCTGATAGAACGTATGGGCACATGCTTTCGGTGAGCCCATTTTTATTCATTTATTACGCTTGGTTACCCAGCAAAGCTTCGCTGTTAGTGGTTTTAAGACTATTTTTAAGGAGGGTCCTGCGAATTAAGGCCAGGACAAAACGCAGGTTCTACGAGGAGGCCCACAATCAGAGACCGCCTGCCACTTATGTTTCCCTTGTCCAGGATTGAATCTAGGCTACTGGGCACCATAACACAATATGCGCACGTACACGTATCTTTGTTCAGCATGGCTCAGATCCCAGCAAAGCAGTGTGTGTGTGTTTTTTAAATTGGTTTAATAATTACGCAGTTTAATTTATGTCCGTATTTTATTGTTTGTCTTATTTTCCCGTCACTTTAATTAACAGGAGCCACACGCTGGCACTTAGGCAGGATGAAATGTCATTTGTTGAAGCCCAAACCAGATGCAAGCTCGTAGACACCGCAGGTTCCTTCGTGTGTTAATGCAGTCCCTTGTTTACACGGGAAGGCCGCCTACACTGCGTCTCTCGACACATTTTCAGCAGGGATCAGTGCATTGTTGGCGCAGGCCGTTAATGCAGAGGCTGTGAGGGTTCGTGGGTCGCACAAACATTCGTGGGCATCGTGGTTGCCATCTCCTGGCTTGCCAGGGTATGATGGCCGGTACAGTAAATGGGATTAATTTCCATCTCTAGATTTGAAGCTTTCGTGACTGCAAGGATTCATGTTCTTAGGTTTTTTCGGTAAAGTCACGTAGGTGAAAAATTAAAATTAATAAAAGTAAAATAAAAGTAAAATAAAAATCACGACGTTTCGGAGGCAACACAAGCTTCCGTCTTCAGGTGGAAGCTTGTGTTATTAATTTTAATTTTTCACCTACGTGACTTTACCGAAAAAACCTAAGAATAAAATTTCCATCTCTACTGGGATTGAGTGTTACCCCCCCCAGCCCATCACACGTGCGGGGTTTCTCCTGGTACCCCGATTTCCACCCACATGTATAAACACTTTAGTATTATTATTTGAGTTGGTCAAGCATCCCGTTATAGGGGCATGGGGTTTGGGCAAACTGTTGCCACGGGTTCTCGCAGTCTCTCCACTCAATCCGTGGTTTCTCGCACCTCTCAGTCATTCCGTTTCCAACAGTGCACAAAAATCTGCAAATGTTCCACGTTCTAAATTAAGTATTTATTATGAACTGGTTGGGATGTTTGGCAAATTTCCACGTTATGCGCGTTTTTTGTTGGATGAGTTGGGATGCCTGTCAAAAAATAAAGCCCACACATGGGGGGTTAACAGAACAAAAAGTGTAATACAAAACCCGACTTTCTGTACGGTCACCTGACAAATGATAGGCCACGGCTTGTACGATTGTGCCTCGGCGTTGACATTAATATACCCACATATGCAACAAATTGCAGAATATTTTAAGGAATTTCTTTTCTCATCCCGAAATAAGAGGCCTAAATTGATTTATTCTGCAGCATGGGCTGAGCGATTTTAGAATGTCAAAGAGACCCAGGGAAGGAACAAACTTTTAGTTTTGATGTGCGCGTGGTGTTTATCGACTCTTTGCTTGATATGTATCCTTAAACGTATTGACTTTTTCTCTGCGGGCTGCGAGAAGTTATTTGTAAACCTAAGCTTTTGTTCACAAAAAATACTTGTGGTTCATGTTTCTGATAATTGGACAGTAGCTACTGATGTTTTTCTTATTTATGACCAGACGTCAGTAGTAAAATTTAATTGTCTTCATTCATCATGCTGTTTGTTCCTGGCCACACGGTGTTTGTTTTGACCAATGGCCCAGGGCTTTGCAACTGTGAAAAACATTGACAGGATGAGAAGGAACGAGTGGCCTGACTAAAACAAAGACGCAGAGACATTGCACACAGAGCGCGTGTCAAACAGGCTGTAAAACATTCATAGTTTACCTCTGCAGCATGGGGGGGGGGGGGGGGGGGTTGAAGGCACAGAATGTTCCGTAGCTTAAAAAGTGATCGGTAATACTTGCCGACCTTGTTTGGGTCGTTTCGGCACCCGAGTCGATGACCGTCGATGAGTGAGGGACGACTAATAAATAAACCAGCAGCAGCGCGTACACGCGACATTATTTTGCGTGCGAGCCCGGTTCATTCGCAACCTGGACATATATATGCCCACAGGTGACGAAGAATTAACGGTGCACGGCGCGCGGTCCTCCAATCGTCTTGGTTCGCGGCCGTACACGCTTAGACGGAGCGCAACGTTGGCACCGCAGGGCGAGCTGTGTGTGCGTGCCTGAAATGGCAGGGCCCCCCCCCCCCTCGCCGTCACCGCCATCCCCACCATCCCCACCTCGCCAACACGAACCCGCATTGAGTTGCGCGCACCTGAGCCTGCGGTATTGTTCTCCTCGTGCTCAGCGGCGGGTGACAGAGCCACAACCGCTAGCGGGATACATCACAATCCAGACGTGAAATTTCGATTTAAGGCTTTCGTGACTGCAGGGATTCATCTTCTTGGTTCTTTCGGTAAAGTCACGTAGAAGGGAAATAATAAAATAATAAAAATAAAACATAATAAAATAATATAATAAAATTAAATCATATAATAAAATAATTGTTTTAATAAGTTATTTTATTATGTTTATTTTTATTATGTTATTATTTCCCTTCTACGTGACTTTACCGAAAGAACCAAGAAGCTCTTCTGAAACAGAAAACACGGCGCCTTGGCGTTTAATCAGTTGGTGGCCATGTTTGATTGGCATTCACAAAGGTAGTGGCTTGTCGTATCTGTCATTTGGCTCTCCTTCCATCGCAAGTGTGTAAGTGTTTGGTGATTTACCCTCCTCCCACTACCCGCCTCTGTCGTGTTTTCTCTGGGCAGTCCAGGTTGTGTCATGAGTGTCAAATACTTGTTCATGGAATTGGATAAACATCCCAATGACAGAACCCTCCTGCATAACCCAGTCTTGAGACTCTGTGAGGCTTTCCTTGGAAATTCATTTCAGCCGATATACACAATGCAAACTGCTTTAATTCGGATGCACGTTGCTACTGTGAAGATATTTGAAATGATGTGTGCATTTTGCAAACATTTTAAAGCATGTATGGATCCGTATATCTTCATGCGTAGATAAATGCAACGACCCAAAACTTTTGTGGCGTTGAATAATTAACGTTGAATTTCCATAACGTCAGACGCGATTCACTAATTCGATGAAACCACAGACATGGCATTTGCCTGTGATTCTAGCTGGGCACAAAGGATGACTTCAAGTTTGGAGCTTCCTTGAATTTAAATGTTCCCCACTTGGTAATACATTCTAATTAATGCAAGCACACTTTTGCCACACCACGCGGCGTTCCGAACATTCTCTGTTTCTTTTTTATCTCGCTGCCAACTCCACTTCAATTTTAATTAGATGTTCCTCCTTGGGCTGGTCACGTTTGATTGGCAACTTGGCACTATCAATCAATTAATTGCAGCTGGAAATGGCAGCTTGCAACGCTTGACCCGTGACCACTGTAATAAGCGAGAGAATGAACAAAAATTAGGCTGTGACACTGAACAACAAAGAACCCCAGATGAGCCAAGATAATTATTTGTGCTGGATGTGGAGAATCAACTTTGTGATGTGTGATGCAGAGGTCGCAACCGGGTACCCGATACCCGTACCCTACCCGATACCCTGCTACCCGTACCCGGCCGGGTACAGGTAGCCGGCCGGGTACGGGTAGCCGTTTGCGACCCTGGTGCGGCCGGGTACGGGTAGGCCGTGAGTCACTGGTGAGTAACCGTTTGTCACTCATTTCGGGTAGGGTACGGGTACGGGTAGCGTACGGCTACCCATACCCGGCCGGGTACGGGTAAGAAATCAAAACCCGTTTGCGACCTCTGGTGTGATAGTCCACGATGACGCGTGCCTTTAATTCAGCGACTCGGTCGAAGGGTTGGCGGACCATGCGGAGATGGAGCCATCTTCCATCATGATTCGTGAGACACCTGCCTATATCGGGATGTCTTATTCTTCCTCCTCTTCCTCTCCTAAACAGTTTGCTGAGCACAGGCCCAAAGGCCCAAAACGTCTTAACGTCCAGCAGCACTGTCAAAGTTGTAACGTGTTTCAGTCAGACTCTGTCTTCTCGACAGACCTGTTCTTCACCTGAGGACGGCTGCTTGCGTTGTGGCCGAAACGTCGTGAGAATTATTTTATTATGTTTTATTTTTATTATTTTATTATTTCCATTCTACGTAACTTTACCGAAAGAACCAAGAAGATGAAT